AAGAAGCCAGAAGATTTGAATATAATAAAAAATGCAAAATAGTTACTCTTCATTGTTAAAACAGTACTTAAAGTGCAAAAGCAGAAACTGAGTCTGAGAGACATGGGTTAAGCTACAAACTCTTTATATACTGAACAACTTACTTGGCATCTAATGATCTCTGTCTCCTTATGGAGGAATGGGGATTATGACAGGTTAATGGTAGGATATATGTAAAGTCTTCAAATGCCTGGAATATAATAGACATTCCTCCCTCACCCATGTGAGCATCTTCTATTTGCTTTGTGCTTTAAGTGCTGAGACAAAAATCAAAACTTAATAAGCAGCCAATGATCTAATAAGGCAGTGAATTATCTTGAAATGTAATTAATAATGTATGACAAAGAGTGATAGAACTAAATAATGATGATAATAATTGAAATATACTTGAGGATTTGAATTTTTTGCCAGACAGTATGTTAAGTGCTTTATGGTGCTTTTTTTTTTCATTTAATTTTCATTTTGTCATAGAACAATTCTATTATTTGGGATCATCATTATCCCCATTTTGCAGATGAAATCCTGAGGCTTAAAGAGATTAACTGCTTGTCCAAGAATGGCTCTAACAGCAATCTCAGTCTGCTAGCTCCTAATTCAAAGTTCTCTCCCTCGAGTTTGCTTTGACTGGTTGCAATCAGTGGGGAGAAGAAGAGAGAGGGCATCACTGTTAGGCTAGAGAGATGGTATATGATAAAGGTTAAAAGCTGCTCTAGACCCATGGCTATTAAACCCTTCATATGAAGCTGGCACCACATGATGAAGAGATAACATTTTGGATACATTGGGTTAAATAAGATATAATATTAAAATTAATTTTGACCTTTTACCTTTTTCTTTTTACCTGAATATTGGAAACTTTAAAATTGCATATGTGGCTCACGTTACATTTTTATTGGACAGCACTGTTCCAGAACTGGAACAACTGGGTTCATTCTGGTTCTGCCACCTACGATGGCAAATGACTTATGCCTTTCACCTGTAAAATGAGGATAGTAATGGCATCCGCCTCACAGGGCCGTTGTGAAAATCATCTGATACACATAAGGGGCTCAGAATGCTACCTGCACATAATAAGCTTTCCGTAAGTGCTGGAAGAGGGAAAATCAGCAAGTCTTAGTGGTCTACCTGATTACAGAAGGAGGAGGAGGAGTCCAGGGTGAGTCTAAGGTGTGAGCTTGGAAAATTAGAAAGGAAATTCACAATACCGTAAGAAATGTGAAAAATGGCATGACTGAAAGTACTTCGCTGCAGCATTATTTGTGATAGCAAGAGATGATAAACACCCTAAACTTGCATCAGTAGGAGGCTGGTCACATTCATCTAACAGATGCTTAAAGCAGCTGCTAAATGGAAGGGTTTTGTGCACTAATGTGGAACTGTCTTCATGTATACTGTTAACTGGAAAAGCCAGATGCACAGCCATATGTATAGTATATTAGTGTTTGTTAAAAAGAAAGTGAAGAGTGAATATATGTATTTGCTTGAATATGCATGGAATATCTCTGGAAGGAGTAACAGGGAACTACTTGCTTCTGAGAAGGGAAACTGATTGGCTCGGACATCGAATGGAAAGGGATCACCTCTGCTACATGGATCCTTCTGTGCCTTTTGAATTTTGAATCATGAATGTAATACATGCATATAAATAATCAAAATAGCAAATTGGTTTTTAATTGGGAAGTGTAAAGGGATAGTTCTTTACTTGAGAGAAGATGACTTATGGGATGGAGGTCATGGACTGGCTCCAAACAGCTGCTTGGAAATGCCGGGCTCAAGCTTTGGTTTTCAGGCCAAATAGCCATTGAATTAATTGCCTTCCTCTCCTCTAATTTTAAGAAAAGGCAAATAAATATGATTAAATCACTGCTTGAATGCACCAGTGAATAAAATTCAACTGCCACCTGTTAGGTTCATAAGAGCATTTCTAAGGGAGTGCCCCCCCCACACCCCCTTCTCTTTCTCGTCTGCAATCATGGTATCAGGCTGGTGAATCATACAAAAAAAAGACACCATTCCTGGGCTTAGAAACCACATTCCAGTTATAGAAATAAATGTGTAAACTCGTGATTAAATGATGAGATGAGGCCTGTAATAGGAAAACTGAGAGAACTAGCTCTGCCTGGTGAGAAGGGCTGGTCAAGGAGCTCTCAGAAATGCAGGTAACTTTGGCTCGAAGCTTTGAAATATTGGTTCCTTAGCAAGCTTGGCCAATGAAGGTTTCAGAGAGAGAGAGAGAGGTAGGGGGAAAGGGGGCAGGTGTGCCGGTGCAATACAAGGGCAGCACCCTGTCTCCAGGAGCCCAGAGCTGCGGGAGGTGAGAGGCCAGGACTGTCAACAGCTCTCTCACAAATTGCGGCTGTCTTCTGTGTCCCTCTGATGTTGGATGACAACTTTCATCTGTACATGGAGTTTAGCAAATAGAAGTTTTTGAAGAGCAAAGTTGACTCAGGAGACGTGGTGCAGTGGTGGGACCCACACAACATTTCCTGGAAGAGATGATTTGAGGAAGGTATGAGAGCGAGACAGATAAACAGGGGACCTACGGTCACGTGACACTTAGCGGTTGGAGGCAGCCTGGGTGGGCACTCAGGAAGGATTTTAGGTGAAGGAATCAGGAAGCACTGGACAACCAGCTTGGCTGTTGGACTTTGGTCTTTAATTTCTGCAGCCTTTATTTCCATATCCTCGGCAGCTGGCCTTTGGCCCTCAGATACTACCACTACCCTGACCTCACTGGGCCTGTCATGCTCAGTGCACACCGGGTGCCCCTTTGCAGTCTGTACGCTCGGACTCCCGAAACTGGTCAAGCAGTTTCCAGCTCCCACATGCCTTGTTCTAGGACAGCGCAGGAAGGGTGTGCAGAACTGGGTCAGTAGCCCAGCCTGGGAAAACTGTGATTTCCTGAGTGGGAACAGAAGTTACCCATGGAAGACTCAAGGCCTTTGGTGTGGCGGTGCCTCTTTACTGTCACTGCAGGCTGCACTGATGATGTAAAAGGAGAGCTGCAGGACCTTGAAGGAGCTGAGAGAGCCCTCCTGACTTATGTGTCACACCTGCTTGTGCACCACCTGGTAAAACAGAGCCAGTAAAGAGAAAAGCTGCATGGGATGAGGTCTGGAGAATATGGGCCTGAAAGAGGAACCTTGTAAACAAATTTGAATTTGTCCTTTAGGGCAAGGAGGTAAAAACAGGGGAGACACATCATCAGCCATATATTTTATGAAGATCACTGCAGCAGCTGTCTGACAAGTGATCAGAAGGGGATAGACCCAGGGAAAGGCCAGAAGACCTGTCATGGGGCCAGTACTCTAGTACTGGGGAACAGCAGCCTGGACTCAAGGGTGGCAGAATGTGGGCCACATTTAGCACCTTGTGCCTATTACAAATTACTCAACAAATTACAAAAAATACATCTTGATGCTTAAGATATTAATTTAATTTTTTTCTTTGCCTCAGTGTCCACCCACACCAATTCTACATACTCTTGGCATAAACATCCTTTCTTTGGGGAAACCTTCACTCCCCTAGACTGCCCCCACAGCATCCTGTATGTCTCCAGTGAGAGCGTTTCACCATGCTTCCCCCTAATTGTGGGGTCATCTGTCTGCATCCTCTGCCACACTGTGTACTTCATGTGGTAGGGAATCTTCATTGATCCTGCTGTGTCCCTAGTGCCTAGTACAGTGCCTGGCATGTAGGGGGTGCCCCAAAATTTGTTGAATTGTGAATAAATGAATCATTAATCCACATAGGCAGGATCTCTCTATTTTAGCAGGAGGAGTCGTAACTTAATAATTTGTTGCAAGGTAATGACTGTGTTTCTTCACTCCAGTGCAGTGTGATATATTTAAGAATAAAACAAAGACAATTAGCAAAGAACATATTGGTTTTTATGGTTATTTTAATTATCGCAGATGCCAGTCAGTACTTGTGATACTTTTTTATAAGGTAAAGAGCCCAATAGCCATGTTTTACCCAAACATTTATAAATTATAAAATCAATTCTCTGGCTGTTTTATTTTGAAAGAAAACCAAATTGTTTAGCTTAGAATTGAAGAGCCTTTAAAAATCTGCCCCCTCCCCTTGGTCACCCTTATTCCTGGTACCATCCCTTTGGAGGGCCCTGGGCTCTGTGAGGCCCGTCTCCTGTCTGCCAGCGTGCCTGCACCACTGTCAGGAAGCACTCGCCAGTGCTCCTTTCCGGTGTTAAAGCCCTTGTTCTTCCCATGAGCCTCAGTGCAAGGTTGCCCTCCATGACATTTCTCTTGGCCAGCATGGAGGTTTTTAAAATTCACCTCAGCCGTGACTCCATGCAGAAGTCTCCCTGGCTGAGGAGACTTGCCTGATGGAGTCAGAACTAGAACCCAGATCTTCCCACCTGGGCTGTGTGCTTCCTCTGGTTCTCAGCAGCCTCTTTCTCCCCCTTTACACACAACACATAAGCCACACAACTGGACCTGATTCCATTCAGTCTTGTTTGACTGTCCCGTACATTCAGTCTTATCCGTGTGACAAGGTGATGAAGTCCTCAAGAGCAGAGACTGTGTGACATGTTGTGGCTCTCCCTCTGCCCACCAGCACCAGGACACTGTGTGCTGTGACACAAGCCAGGCGGTGAATCTCTAACCCTCTGCCGAGGTGCATACCACGACCATGGCCCTCTCCCTCCGTCATGGCTGTCGGCCTCTGGGGCCACACAGGGACTAAACTGTGGTCCAGACAGCTTCTGTAATGAAAGAAACAGCATTCTGGTGTATGTCACCACGTCACCAACTCTGGGTGGCTCTTCTGTGAGAGACTGACTCACTGTGCTGACTGAATCTGACAAGGATTTCACCTGTGTTCAGAGACGGGAATGAACAGAGGTGAAAGGACATGCTTGGGATGCGGACAGTAGGTTTCATTTTATTTTTTAGCTGTGGTTTTCTTGCCTCTCAGCTTATGTGTGTTCCCTCTTTTAGGATTCCCTGCCGTGGGTCTCCATCTCAGTCATTTTGAGTTTGGCCTAATCAAAGCCGGAGGTGATGAAGTCGATCCTAGATGGCCTTGCAGATACCACCTTCCGCACCATCACGACAGACCTCCTCTACGTGGGCTCGAGTGACATTCAGTATGAAGATTTCAAAGGCGACATGGCGTCCAAATTAGGGTACTTCCCACAGAAGTTTCCTTTAACTTCCTTTAGGGGAAGTCCCTTCCAAGAGAAGATGACTGCAGGAGACAGCCCCCAGCTGGTCCCAGCAGACCAGGTGAACATTACCGAATTTTACAACAAGTCCCTTTCATCCTACAAGGAAAATGAGGAGGACATTCAGTGTGGGGAGAACTTCATGGATATGGAGTGCTTCATGATTCTCAACCCCAGCCAGCAGCTGGCCATCGCTGTGTTGTCCCTCACACTGGGCACCTTCACGGTTCTGGAGAACCTGCTGGTGCTGTGTGTCATCCTTCACTCACGCAGCCTCCGCTGCAGGCCTTCTTACCACTTCATAGGCAGCCTGGCGGTGGCAGACCTCCTGGGGAGTGTCATTTTTGTCTACAGCTTTGTTGACTTCCATGTGTTCCACCGGAAAGATAGCCCCAACGTGTTTCTGTTCAAACTGGGTGGGGTCACGGCCTCCTTCACCGCCTCGGTAGGCAGCCTGTTTCTCACAGCTATTGACAGGTACATCTCTATCCACAGGCCCCTGGCCTATAAGAGGATCGTCACCAGACCCAAGGCCGTCGTGGCCTTTTGCCTAATGTGGACCATCGCAATCGTGATCGCTGTGCTGCCACTCCTGGGCTGGAACTGCAAGAAGCTGCGGTCGGTTTGCTCAGACATTTTCCCGCTCATCGACGAGACCTACCTGATGTTCTGGATCGGGGTCACCAGCGTGCTGCTGCTGTTTATCGTGTACGCATACATGTACATTCTCTGGAAGGCTCACAGCCACGCGGTCCGCATGATTCAGCGCGGCACCCAGAAGAGCATCATCATTCACACGTCAGAGGACGGCAAGGTGCAGGTGACCCGGCCGGACCAGGCCCGCATGGACATTAGGCTGGCCAAGACCCTGGTCCTGATCCTCGTGGTTTTGATTATCTGCTGGGGCCCTCTGCTTGCCATCATGGTATATGATGTCTTTGGGAAGATGAACAAGCTCATTAAGACGGTGTTTGCATTCTGCAGTATGCTCTGCCTGCTGAACTCCACTGTGAATCCCATCATCTATGCTCTGCGAAGCAAGGACCTGAGACATGCTTTCCGGAGTATGTTCCCCTCGTGCGAAGGCACCGCGCAGCCTCTTGATAACAGCATGGGGGACTCGGACTGCCTGCACAGACACCCCAACAATGCAGCCAGCGTTCACAGGGCCGCAGAGAGCTGCATCAAGAGCACCGTCAAGATTGCCAAGGTGACCATGTCTGTGTCCACAGACACGTCTGCCGAGGCTCTGTGAGCCTGACCCTTCCCTGGCAGCAAAGGAAAAGAAATTCCTTTTTTTTTTTTTAAGCTCCAAATCTAGAAGAGTGTATCATCTCATCATTGTGTTTTTTTTTATTATTTTACAATGCTCAGTGAGAAGGTGGTTGTCACCATAAGCAGTTATCAGTTCTCAAACATTTTAGTAGGTAGGTCCTCAAACTCAGTCCTCTCGGGGTTTACAGTGAGGAAAACCTGTTGCTAAAGAGACTGGAAGGTCCTTCAAAGTCTCAGTGAAACAGGAGAGAAGCCTTTGGCTACAGAATTTGAAGTTTAGATATCCATAGAAAAATGCCATCAAATGAGTAATGCCTGTGTGACCACAACTTTTATTATAATGTGAAACGTATTTGTCTGAGTATTAGAGATGTCCATTTTTACAGCAGTTATAGTACTAAAGTAGACCTATTTTGTAAAATGTGTCATGTGAAATGTGTATCGGTGTATACTGTGTGTCATTCATATTTGTCTAGCTCAGCAAAACTGAAAGGTAGACTTTTCTGAGAACAATGGAACCCAAGCAGTGGATATATGTCAGCGAGACCGCTTTCTAAACAAATTATGGCCCGTGATTTAACTTCAGAACCCGTAATATTTTTTTCAAATTTCTCTATGTAAATTTGACATTGAAATAAACATAAAGGTTTATTTTTTATTTTTGTCAATACAACAAGGAGAATTTGAAGACTACCCAAAGTATCGAGCAGAATTCATTGACACGTAAAAATTTATTAGCCCTGCATTTTCATACAAGGACATTTATTATCTTCTGGAAAATAGCTGTTCTGTTGAGTGATGGATTATAATCAGAACAGAAGAGAGAAAGCATATTGACTTTTTTCACTGGCATCTCTGACTTTCTTTAGTCTTTAGCTACGATGGGACCTCTTAAGATAGCATGTGTCAATCTTAGTGTATATTGTCATCACTGTGCAATTGCTGTTTACTTGAAGAGTATTGCATCCTTCTTCCAGGTTTAAGTAGATTTCATGCCTGGGAGGCCAAACACGAGTCTTCATTTCTTCTTCATTGAGAAGAAGTATTATCTGGATCAGTAAAATTATACTGTGTGTGAGTGTGAATATAAATGTGTGTATGTGTGTGTGTTTATCCTGTAACTGTTATAGTAATGTCATAAAGTGAGAAAACTGTGACCAAGTGTAAACTGTACCACTTGCTGCACTCTTGCGCATGAATTCAGTTTCTGAAGTGAAGTTCTTCCAGAAATCTTGTTGATAAAAACATTGACCATAAACATTCAGAAAATTCCCTTCCCTCCTTAAGAGCTTGGGTCAGTATTACTAATTGACCTTTCGGTATTCCATGAACAGTGTTTAGACAGGACTATGCAGTGATGAGCATTCAAGTGGAGGTCTGCATTTACAGAGTTATGGCAGTGCATTGCCATGTAATGCATGAGAGCTTTTTGGTTTCTGAGCACCTACGATCAAGACCATGCACATGTAAGTCATTAAAAGGGAAGCAGTTCTAAAAACACCCAGTGGTGACATTTTTCAGTTGTGCACGTAGGCAGTGAGATCTCAGTTTAAGGTGCTCTGTATACCACTTGCTGAAGTAGGACTTCCAGGTGTGGCCCACGTGGCTCAGGAGGCCTGTCAGACAGGGGGGGAGGCAGAACAAGTCAGTGAGGAGCCGCCCACTTGGAGCTGAGGCCTGGATGATACAGATACAGAGCTTCACCCAGCTGCCCCTGGTGATAACCCAGTGTCTGGCTTTGGGTGGTTTGGGCTATGGGATAGGCCTCTCCTCTGCTCCTGCTTAAGCATAAAGAGAGGTATAGCTTGCTTTCTTCCTATGCCCCAGCCTCAAGCTCCTTAACGTGCCATGGGTGCTCAGAATGAGGCCCTTTCCCAGTAAACAGTCATGCTGCTCAAGAAGCCACCTGACCCTGCCAAGCTACTTACAGTCTTCTCCTTATACAGATAAAGCATGGCTCCTGCGGGCCCCAGAGGCCTGCATAGCCTGAAATGAAGTGGAGAGCTAGCCTTTATCTGGTGATGCCTAGCCATCTAGACACCGCAGCAGCCTGATGGGGGCAGTGTCCTTTCTTGCAGTGTGTGGCGTAAGGCTGAATGTGGCTTCTGGACCAAGCTTGGGATGTATTATTGTCTGTCTCTACAGCTTGAATCTGCTTGCTGGTTCCCTCTCTGGGATATACAGGTAAGGGCCTAGGGTGCTGGAGGATGAATAAGGTCATTTTAGAAGAAGGAGAAAAGACTATTTAAAAAAAAACTCACCAGGGTCTAGCTTCCATTTAAGAGTTGCCACTCTTTGGTCCCACATTATCCTGAGTATTAATCCACACATCTCAGAGCTCACTAGGCAGTACCAACTCTTTCCTTATGGTGATGGAGATCTGGTAAAGATGCAATTCTTGTTATTGGTAGAAAAACTCAAGGATTAATTTTTGAAACTGTACTTGTATGTATGCAATGTAGATTTTATAGTGTGTTGTGCTTTCAAGATTAAATCACATATAATAAATTAAGGGACAATGGGGCTGACAGCACTAAACTTGGTGCTTATTGATATTCTAAAAAATATCTGTGAAATATCATCATGTATGTGTTACACCACTGTCATTTTAAAACACTGAAATTAGTCTGACTCACTTCGATACTTTTAATATCATTTCCTAACCCAAGTGACTCAAATGTTCTCCCCAATGAATATACTCATTAGAATTACCATTCATTAGTATCATTCATTAATTAGTCCCTTAATCAGACCCATTAATTTAAATATTATTTAGATTTCAGTAAGTTTTATAAAGTCTAACTTCAGAGTTACCGACTCTTCTCTGAGGGTAACATACTTTTCTTGACTGTGCATTTCACCATCATGTGTCTTCAGAAAGGGCCAAATTCCCAAACTGCTCAATTTCTTCAGAATAATGATGAATCTTTCCATCTTAGATTGACAGTTTAATTTAGACAAGAAGGACTGTCTCCAAAACCCTCTAATTTTCCATTACATATGAAAGAGATGTCAAAGACACTTGGGTCTGGGAGAAGCTGCTGACATATGCCTACACTTGAGATGGTTACCAAGCCCTCCCATCACCTCACGTCAGGTCTATCTGGCATTAAGTGTCAAGGAATTTTGGCCTCTAAACCCATGCTGTAGGAATTAGGCCCTGGATGAGTAGCATTCTAGTTACTGTCCTGTTGATTAATTTCTGCCATTCCATATCTGTAAAAGAGACCACCAATATCATGTGCAAAATTAGATTTCTCACAATCTAACTGTATATTTGTATGATATTTTTAAATCTCCTAAATGCTGGGCAATGGCTATCAACAATTGTCTTGCACTAGCCTTCTAATGAAATGTTAACAATGCCTATTATAATATAGACAAAACATTTTGTCTACTGATTTGGGCTGAATGTATGTAAATAGGTTTTAAAAAAAGTCAGATATTTAAACAGTGGCCTACAAATCAGTAATTTTCAGATAGAAGAGTTTCTTTTTACATTGCTGTGGCATCCTAAAAGCTATCTTCACATAAACTTAGTGTACTAGGCCTGCTGGGGATCAGAGGCCCCAAGAAAAGAAACCTTTTCTTGTAATAATATGAATCAAGATACCAGATTATCTGGATTCTTCTTTCCAGTGTTTCAAGTGGAAAACATAAGTATGGTCTGTAAAACTAACATTATTACTTTTTCCTCTTAGAAAATATTGTATTGTTAGATGTTTGTTGAGCTGGTAACATCCTTGCAACTGCTGCAATATCTTCGTTAATAATCTGTATAATACTTTGTACACAAGTACTAGTAAGATTGTTATTCAATGTAGCTTACGTCATTAAATTACTCTAGCACAGTAGTACTTCTGTAATATTTACAATGTATTAAGCCCACACTATATTTTATTTCAATGATGTAATTAAATTGTTATTTATTCAAAAAGAAAACATCCCATCATGTCTATTGTCCAAAGTTACCTGGAATCAAATAAAAATTCTAGATTATCACAAAGAACGTAAAATGCCTTTGAATCTTACCTTACTTCATAGTCTGCTGTTAAATCACTTGAGATTTAACTTCTATAACATGTTGAACAACTGATTTGTTCCCAAAAAGCACTTATAACTTAATTTTAGAAACGGGGAGAGATTGTATTAATATATTCATTTTTAACATAGACAAGAATGCAAAAAAAAAACACCACCTACATAATCAAGAAGGAAAGCCTGCCATGCCTTTTGCATTATTTCATTAAAGACTTTGATGATTTTGAAGTAAATTTTTTAAAAATATACTATTCACAATGTGTAAATCAAATTGGAACTTACAGATTTAGTGAAATATATATAAATCCTTAAGGAATTTATGAACATCGTATACTCTGAGCCATGTGCAGGGGATAATTACACAATTGTTATTGAACAATGAAAGAAAATAGTCTGAAATTTTTATAATGAAGTAAAAAAACATAATGAAGTTTACATGACTAATACTATCCGGAATAAAGTACATTTGCTGTCAACTTTAGAAGAAGGTTTTAAATTTTTCAAATGACGAACTGGCAAATATTTGAAAATAGATTGCCTTCATTTTTTGAATAACTGTACTCAAAATTCATCACTGTCCCTCTTCATAAACATTCATAAACTGCCTTAGCTGTATGTTTCTAAGAAAAAGCAAATAATGTGTTCTTAGCTCTTAAATTTTATACTGGCACTTGATGGGAATACGATAACCTATTTCAGTATCTTCATATAATATCTTGAAACTCAAAAATGACCCCCCCAATGTGTTACCCTCTATACAGATATACACATTTGCAATGATATAGAAATAGATAAACAACTGAAGTATGCAAGAAGATCCACAATGTCCCTCAGGGATGGTTCCAACTGAAAAACTCCACCCTCACTTCTAGAATATCTATAAAGGGAGTTTCTCCTAGATGGAAGGTGATACATGTGAAGTTCTTGACTCCATACTGGAATATAGAAAGTGAACAATGCTCACCATCATTGTTCCTCAACTCCCTGCCTCTGAATGCTGGTAAGGGAAATCGGGAGTGAACGTATCTGACCAGTTTAGGAAGTGGTAAGATGTGCAGAGTGGGCAGCTCTCTGACCTCCCTGGAAGTACAAATCATTGGGCTACTGACTTACCCACTTCAGAGGTTTCTAGGTAAGGTCAAGCAATGAATGTATAGGACTACAGGATACAGAGTTCCCTGCAACCTGTCTAAAGGAAAACAGAATGACAGGAAGGAATGAGAAATGGGATGAATAGTTTAAAAAAAAAATAATTGCAGTCCTAGATTAAGAGAAAAATGAGATTATGGGACTCTCCAGTATTAATTGCAGCACCTTGTTAATTGCTTTGAACATGGATGCTCAAAGCATGTTCACAATCATGCAATCATGTTTAAAGCATGAATAAAGCATATGAATAATTTTTCTCAGCACTGAGAAATAGAAGACTAATGCAGCACTTCGGTTGAATAATAGTAATGATAGAATTCTTAACATGTTTGGGTAAGCCTGATCCATTTGAAAATGTTCAAATGTCTATTATCAAGTACATAATCTTTTTGGCTAATATCAGAATCATGACTGAAAGAGGCAGCTATCATGTAGGGAAAAACACTGGAGAAGAAATTATTAGACCCTGGATGTAGTTCTGAATCAGTCACTTTCTAGCTGTTTGGCCTTGGACAACCTACAACCTCTAATCGGGTTTTCTCCTCAGTAAAAATGCCAGCTCTGAAAATATCAGTAGCATCAGATGATAGAAAGTGTTTTGAAGAGCTTTGGAAACCAATGTGTAAAGTATTAGAATTCATCCATGTTCAAATCATTTTATCTAAATCATTCAGTATGTCTGCATCAGTCCTTCAGCTAATAATCAGGAATAAAAAAGCTACATTTTGTTGTGCCTACTGAGTGACCAGCTTTGTACTAGCACTTTACATTGATACTTTACATATATATTATTTAATCCTCAAGCAACCCTATGATGTATATATTATTAACTTCACATAAGTGGGACGAAAGCTGAGTGAGGTACAGATCACATAACGAAGGTTAGAACCCAGGCCTTCTTCATTCCAAAGCCCATATTATTTGCGTTAAACCCCAGTGACTCCAGTCATTCATTCATTATTCATTTAAAGCTGTATATTCCACAAGCATGTATTGAAAACTTCCCATATGCTAAGAAATGCATACTTAATGAATATCACTTTTACTTACCAGAATGCCTAGTAAAAATAATGCCCCAAATCTGTTGTTTTGTAGTGCAGTGCCATATATGTAAGCCCAAGCGCTCAAGTCTCTTGCCCATGTTCACATGAATAGTTAGTGGTAAGTTGAATCTCTGGAGCTCAAGTCCAGGACCTTTGACTCTAAGCTCTGGATCTTTCCATCACACGCATAGAAAAGGGGAATGGAGTGTGATAAGGTGCATGGCTCTAGCCAGACACTCACGTTTTCCTTCCTTCCTTTCCAGATGGCAGCAATTCAAAGACTTTATCAAATCCATTCTGGATGTTAAAATAAATTAAATTTGTGATCTTTATTACTTGGCCTGGTAAGAATCATCACTCATCTTGGGTAGCCGAAATAGTGGCTAAGAAGTTTGATTTCGTTTTACCCCAGAGCTGGGTGCTACAAATATATTCCTGATCCCACCTACATTAGCTGTTTTTCCAGTTCTTTGGCCACCTCCTACAGCAAAGTTCTCGTTTTAATTCTTCTAACTTAAAGGAAACCTGCTTTATTTTTAACTTGTATGTAGAACAAAGCATCTAGGAAATAATACTCTACTAGTCGGTGAAATGTAACTATTAAAGTTGAAAAATATGACTTAGCAAGTATTTACCAAGAACCTACCTTGTAGGTGGCACTGGTAGTAATGGCTAGCATTTATCTCATATGAGATGCATTATCTTATTTAAACTTCTTAACCAGCCTGTGAGGTATTATCATCCCCACAGACAGTAACCTGCCCGAGGCCACACAACTAGTAAGTGTAGAGTATGGATTTGCCCTTAGCCACTACATTGCTGAGTTGATAGTCACAAACCAATTTCCATTTAGCAAACTGTACTGTGCATTCATTCTGTCCAATTCAAGCAACATTTATTGAGTATCTACCATGAAAAGTCATCAAATTACCTAAGATCTAATGAAAAAAGGTCAACACTTAAACAAATCATCTCAATGCAATGCAATCAATGCTGAAATAGAGGAAGCGATAGGAAACCAGTAAGGGCAGAGTAATGGAATTAGGAAGAAGAGGTGATACCTGAGCTGAGTATTGAAGACCAAGTGAGAGCTGGCCAGGAAAGGAGGAAAGAGAATATGGAGATACAGGATGTTATAGGGAGTGAATAATGGTGGGGTGGGGGAGACAGGCCAGTGATTTAATGGGGCATGTATCCAAAGAATGACACATAGTCTCAGGTGGCAGGGACGTGATACCCACAGGACAGTGAGGAATGAAGATGAGGACCAGGAGCCACATCACCAAGGGCCGTGGATGCTAAGGAGATTCACTGTTCTTGGTGCATCTCACTGCAATTTACAGAGGCCCGAGCAGATTCCTAATATTAGTCAAAAAAGGTCAGAGTTTAGCCTTTTCCCTAGTTCCACTAATTCAAAAAGATTTTTACAAAGCATTGCATACATATGTAAAAGTATCACTTCCTGCTTGGCCCAGAAGGTGGGATTGGAGGCTCCATATCCTGTTTGCTCATTAGCTGGCCACAGACTTTTCCTCTTGATGACATTAATGTCACTGTTAGAAAGAGCATTATTCACTAGGAACTGAGGGACAGCAATTAGCTCCCCAAACAGAGCAGTCATCAGTCACAAAGTGTTCCTGGTCATCACTCACCTGGGCTGGGGCAAACCCTCTGACCTCCGATGACAGGGACAGTATTGAACGCCAGCCCTGGGGGCCTCCAAGCCTCTGCCCTCCTGCCCCCTTTGTAAATAAGATGACTGCTGCTACAATTGCCTGGTTTACCCGGAGAGACACAGAAATCCTTCAGGGAACAAACAGATGAGGACTAAGGGAGAAAAGCTTTGAAAACAGTCCAAAGCAACCCATGCCTCCACCTGCCCCAAGTGTACTTATTTCATTCATATTGAAAACACAGACTGTTTTTCAGTTAGGAGTTTGAGTTTATAAAAGGAAGGAAAAAGCTGAGAACGTCTTTGAATTATGCTGTGGGGAGGGGAATAAAGTTTTAAAATATTCTGGCATTAAGCTTTTCCCAAATTAATTGCGTATTTCATGGTTTTTCTAATGATTTTTCCATACACATATTCACAAAGTTTACACAAAGGTACTTTTAAGGGAAGTGGAACTTTGCCATACAATTTGATGATAGATTTTATTACTTGCACCGATAAACCTAACAATAGTTTTTCCAGTTTGTGCCTCATTCAAATCTCTGATTATTCTAGAAAGGGACAGACCCTTTAGCCATTCAATTCAGCCTCTGATTGCTTGTCTTGTTAAATCTCAGTCTTTCAAACCTGGGTGGCTGTGAGCAATTGGTCTTACTTGGTTCGTGCAATGTAAATATTTTCAAGTATTAATCTCTTCTCACCAATTGAGGAATTAGAGATGTAAACCCTTAGAAAATGCCCTCCATTTCCTAACAGAGGAAAACCCCAATGTGTTTCACCATTATTCACTGAAATCAGGTAAATCCAAATTTCCTTTGAATGACCCAGAATAGGACATACTTACTGCAAAATGCCACCATCTCCCAGGGACAGTCTCCAGGGAGAGATGAGCAACATAGTGCATGTGGCTGTTAACAGCGAATATGAATCAACAAAGGTCTTGGCACATGCCTCCCCTTCTAGAAGCCCATCCAAGAAGATGAGGGATACATTAGCTTCTCTTAGAGCCCCAGTTTCATGCCTCTTTGGTTGAGCTTCTCAGTGCTCACAGCCTTTATGATGTCCAAGTTGAAGAAGAAAAGCAGTATTCATATTCGAGAGGAGGACTGTT